GGTGCTGTCACTGCACCCTTCTTTCAGTGGGTCTGTATCGGCTTCCTCCACATGTGTGCATAATGCAAAAGCAACCGCTCGTTAGTGAAAGAGAAAAAGCCGAGAGCAGCACGAGAGCCTGTGCACAGGAGGTGTGGAGGAAGTGGTCTATGCCGAGCAGCACTTTTGTTTCCCCTGTTGCTCAGTGGGTACCCTGAGCTGACTTAATGCTCTTCACTAAACATGGTATCCCCGGACGTAAATGGGAAACCTCTGCTTAGCACAGACCAGCTAAAGCCAGACAGAAAAGAAACCAGAGTAAGAGTGGCTGCCAAGGGAAGTGCTTACCATGGATCCCATTTTCAAACTTGGATAGCAGCTGAGTCCATATTTAAACACCTAATTAGCCACTGCAGGCTCCGATTTGAAATTTGGCTTCTCATTACTTTTTACAAATACATTGCCCTAGCATGCTAGGGAGACTGCTGCTGGAGACAGCACCATGAAGATGAATGGTAAAATCAGCTTCTGGTGAAAAAGAAAAAAAAAATCATAATAATAAAAAATCGGCAAACCTGAAGGCAGTCGCTCATGCCACAATTGAATACTTGCTTATTTTCTTTTGGGAAAAATACAAAACAATCCCTTTCTTTTCTCCTCCCTAATTTTTGTAATGACAGTTCAAACTTGTCAGTCTATGTTGCAAAAAATCTTAACCCAAAAATAAGAATTTCTGCTAAAAATTAATTGAACACAAAATGCATAGCCTGCCTTATCCTGATCCTTTATTCATCAGTACAGAATCAATAAAACATTATTTTAAAAGGCAGAAGAAGGTCTTGTATATTGCTGCTCTCTTGGCCAGATTTCAAAGCAGCTAATTAAATCCTGTCTGCCTTAACTCCTCCTGTAGTTTCTATTTAGTGAGTTGTGCATTGCCCTGCTTTATCAGCACTGACTTGGCAGAATGCCCTAGGGGGGCATCCCCCATGGGAGACTGTTTTCTGTGGTAGGAAGAGTGGTCCACAGAGAGCCCCACTCAAAAGAGCGGGTGGGCATGAACTTCTCCAAGCTACTGATGCCAGGCACGCTGCTCCTTCCCACTGGACTTCTTCCCACGAAGTCCTTGCTCCACTTTTCCTAGCTGCTGACTGTGCACAGGCTTGCCATACCACAGCACGTGTTGTCTGGCATAGCTCGAGCCTGGTGGGCAGCATTTATTAGGACGGATTGCTGGGCAGTCGAACGCTCGTACCTCCTAGCTCTCTATCCGAATGCCCAGCGTGCGTATATACCACTGGGAGCTGGGAGCTACCAGTCTTTTGCCTGGCTGGCCACCCAGTTCGGAGGTAGAGTTTCCCTGCTTGAAAGTCTGCCTGCTTTGCTGTGAAGCATCGATACCCTGTGTCCTCAGGGGTCCGAGTGTCACGGGCACCCCACGTGCACTGGTGCACCAGCACAGTTCGCTGGTAAGCTGTGTTCTGCTTTGGGCTGTGCTTCAGTTGGCCTCTTGTATGCACTTTCATTTTAGAATGCTTTTAGAGCCTTCAGAAAATGAAAGCAAAGTGGAAATGCGTAATGTCAATATTATTATTTTATTTAGTGTACAATTATAGTTTCATTCAGTGTAGAAAATGTACATACAGGCATAAAGTGCCAAGAGAGGCTAGATTTAGATGCATAGGCTTTAAAGCCAGCTAATACCATGTGTAAGAAGAATACATTTTATGGTTTTAAACTGAAAGAGGGTAGACTTAGATTGGACATAAGGAAGACATTTTTTACGATGAGGGTGGTGAGGCACTGGAACAGGTTGCCCAGAGAAGTTGTGGATACCCCGTCATTGAAAGTGTTCAAGGCCAGATTGGATGGGGCTTTGAGCAACCTGATCTAGTGAAAGATGTCCCTGCTCATGGCAGGGGGATTGGACTAGATGATCTTTAAAAGTGCCTTCCAACCCAAACCATTCTGTGATTCTACATGTATGTGCATGGGAGATGCAATTGTGGTACACGTACAGGAGCCTACATGCTCCTATTTTTCTGATACATGAAGTCAAGACCAGATGTAATGAAATCAAGGAACCAATGTTGATTTTTTTTTCCCAGCATAACATTTAAACGTGAACCTAATAAGACAATGTCTAACAAACAAAACAGTTGTTCAATGAAAATCCTTGTCAGTTCTGTGTCACAGGTTATTCCTCTGTCTTACGTAGTCCATTGATGTCAGATTCCTGGAAAGCAAAAAGCACACACAGAGAAAATGGGAAGAGAGGAGGTAATCATTGCAGGGGTTCTGCCTAAAGTGTCTGCTCTGTATATCCAATTTTATATCCTTCATATCTATAGTATGTTATTGAAGTCTGATTCCCTGCTGCCTTGCAAATCATTTGCATCTCTGCACTGTGATATAAAAGGCTTCCTCGCTGATTGGATAGCTTTTTATATCTTCTCAGCACTCATGTTTCTCTGACATAGATACCTATGCAAAGTACAAGGCTTTTGAGGATCCGGCCCTTGTAGTTCATGCTTCATTGCCACAAGGTAAGTCAAAACAGCACTCGTGCGAAATGTGGGAATGGGAAGTCATGGGGAGCGTTCACCATCCTCCTGCCTGGCATCTGAAGGTTACTGAAGGCCAGACTAGACCCAGGCAGAACAAGTCAGAGTAGTCCCCAGCCCTGCTTCCCTGTGAGCCGCTTGCCAGACAAGATCACTCTAATTCAACTCGGGAAGCTTGTCCCGTGCCCCAGCTTGCATTCTCCACCGGTGGGGGAATGGTGGCACCGATGGAGAAGTGCCAGGCTTGGCTGCCAGCTGGCTGCCGGAGGCGGCTTCGGATAAGTACTTCTTCCCATGGGTGGTGTGAGCTCTGCCCTGCACGGCTGCGCAAGCGAAGCTCATAGCGGCTGAGGATCTGGTCCTTCAAGTTAAAAGGGTTGAAATATGCATGAAGCATAAGGTGACATTTTGAGTGTCTCAGATCAGAGCACGGACGTTACTGAATTTAAAATGTAACTGCAATTTCCTGACTAATGCCAAGTCACTTTTATATTCATGCAGTGATTGTTCTTTATTCTTAAAATAGCCCATTTTACCCTGAGGTGCAGGTGATATCTTTATGATGATGGAGCTACGTTATCCAGCACGTTACAGCTCAGACCGTTGTTTGATGCAAGAGCTGTTAATGATCAGCTGTCCTTTTTTATTATCTCTCAATTTATATAATGCTTTTGTAGCCTGTTTGTTTGTGATTTGCTTGAACAGGAATAGAGCACGGGAAAAAAAAAAGCAGAAAAAAAAAAGAGAGGCACTGGAGAGTCAGCGCTGTTGTCTTTTGCTTCCTGTAGCTGAGCTGTACAATTTACCATTGTGTCTCCAAGTTTCTGAGTCCATTCAGATAACATGAACAGTTAAATTGCTTCAGTAGCCTTATACCTCTGCAGAGAGTCAGCCTGTTTGCTGCCATCCGGGGCTTTCTGCAGAGAAGTGTACAGGATATTATAAATAAGGTTTTCAACAAGAATGAGATAACAAAAAGAACTCTGAGACATATTTGCTATTCATTCAAAATAAAAACCTTGCATGTAGTAGCGACCACAGAAAACCGAAGGCAGGCTTTTCAGCAGAGTAGGAACATCCCCAGCTCGGGTGTTTGCTTCACTAAGGGTGAAGGCGTAGAGGATGGAGCTGTAGCTGTGGCTGTCACAGAGGCAGGACAACTACGGGGAAGGAGAGGGCTGGGAAAGAGAGATCTGCTCCTGAGTGGGTGCCCCTCTATCTCCCTCCACCAGCAGTAGCTGCCGCCCCTGGGACCCTAACCCCTGGCTCCACACCGGCGGCAACAGCAAGCAGCACCGCTTCCCCAGGCTCTGGCAGAGGCAAAGGGGATCAGAACCAAAGCTGTTTTGCTGCCCCCGGAGCCTGTTGCTTTAGGCTCCTGCCTGCTTTGCCTATGAGCTGTCTGTAGTGCCAAGAATTACCTTTGGTTCTGCTAAGCACAAAAAAGGTTAGATGAGAGGCTGTAGTAATTACAAGAGTGAATTGTCGTGGCATAGGACTTTGTGGAAGTGATGCTGAGGCCCCAGTCGGGAGGAGCATTTTAAGCGACATACCTGCTAATTTTCCTGGAACTAACCTGCTTATTTAGAAAAAAAATACTGCTGCCTGCATGCAGTGAAACCCAACTAATCAGCAGTTCCTAGAAAGTTTGACTTGAAAGAAAGGCAGATTCAGCATCCAGATGAGGGAGGTGCACAGGAGTCTCAACAGGTAATGTTTTGCCGTAACTCCCAGTATTTGTGTGCCTTCATCGCACCTCCTGTTCGGCACAGACCCAGCCAGCCGTCTTTGCTCTAAACACTGTATATGGCATAACTGTGGTTACACTTGCAGCCGTTCTCCTTGCCCCATCTTTTTATCCCTCTCTTTAGCTGTGCATAATCCGGTGTGTCACTGGGGCAGGTGCAACAATTGCCTTACTCATCTGTACTCTGCCCAACACAGGGGCCTTCGTCAGAAACTGGTAGGTCCTGCTGCAATACAAATAGTAATAACCAGGAGTAGTATGATCAGGCACAGATTTACTGGGTGGGAACAGGGTATGTATGTGTGGGAAGAGGGTAAGTATGTGTGGGAAGAGGGTATGTATGTGTGGGAAGAGGGCAGTGAGGAAGGGGAGAGTAGTTTGACGACCTCTAGGTGATGACATCCTGGAGACTGGTGCCTCAGCATTTCTAGTTTAAATAGATTGACATAGAGATTCTGGCAGGTACCATGTAATTTTATTTTAATTTTTTTCCCCACCATAAATCAGACTTGGTGTCTGAGGGAATAATCACCAGAACTCCAGCAAACAACACACCTGCCAGTGATAAGCTGTTTCTTCTGATGACTCAATGTATAGCTGTTTGTTTGCTGGATATTGCAAAATGCAGTACATTTGATGTTTATGCAATTCTGTTTTCCTTCTGATTATTTTTATGTGCATCTCCCTCTCTCTTTCTCTCCTGTATACAGATGTTCGTATTCGCCCCATGGAGCCTATGCCCAAAGCAAACTTGCCCTTGTGTTATTTACCTATCGACTACAGCATCTTCTGACTGCAAATGGAAGCCATGTGACTGCTAATGTAGTAGACCCTGGAGTAGTGAATACTGAGCTCTACAAGCATGTCTTTTGGGTTGTAAAAGTGGTCAAATGGATGACAGCCTGGCTATTTTTCAAGGTATGCAACTTTTTAAATCACTTTGTTGCCATGCCCCTACATTGTGAGACCTGTAGTCAGCATGGAGCTGAAGGTGTTTCAGAGTTTACCATAATGTATGGTATTTATTGCATTTCTCTGTGTTGATGAGAGGTACAAAATTGATAAAGACGGGCCTTCCCCAGAACAAACACTTATTTTAAATGGAGGGAGCGAGCTCTTACAGCAAGGGAAGGGAATGCCTTTCACTGTCTGTGCACATGCACTGGTTATCTCTGCTCTGATCTATCTGTGTGCCTTTGTGCATGCATGTGGGCAGATCATCCTAACACGGAGCCAGAATATGCAAAGTGTTCCTCGGAAATGTCTTGTACGTCCTCTTAATGAGAAGCAGACATGATCTGGCACCGTATACACGTATGCAACGTATTATAGAGAAGAGGGCAAAGGGCAGAAGGAAGCTGTACAAAAATGGTGGTGGGAAGTGGCCATACTCCAGGCTGTGCGGGTCCAGACACTCGTGCTCTGGGAGGTGGGACAATTTTCATTTAGCTTTTTCATCCTAACACATGCTTGTAATGGTACGTGATCTTCTATTATCTATTCCTGGTCTGCATTAGGAAATTTAAAGCTGCTTGGTAAAACTCATCCAGAACTGGGGCAGACCCAGTTACAGTCAACTTTAGTAACATTTTGTAGTTGTGTAAGTAGATCAATCTGAAATCAGTTTATCTGCGTAGGTGCAATCTCCTCATGCGGACAAGCCTTAGGAGGACTTGTGATGAGAAAATGTACTGCTTATAACTCTTTCAGAAAGTAGTTTTGGATTAAGTGAAAGGAACCTGATTCCATTAGAGAAAATTAAATGTCCTAATTAAAACGAAGTATTTTAGATCAAGGGGCATGTCCCACAAAGCAAATTAATTTTAAACTTTGATATGGAAATATCACTAGCTTTAATTTTAGAAATGAAACTGCAGGCTGGAAGAGTAGCTGTAAAATAAGATGCAAACAAATAAACCCCTATTTAAAAAAATTAATAGTATCTTCTGAGTACACCTTGAATATTGCAATAAAATTGTAATAGGAACGTTCATAATATGTAATGCATTCTTAAAGAAGCAGAATGCAGCTTTGCCAGAACGTATGTATTAAACTTGTTTTGCCTCTTGTGATTGCCATTTTAAATATCAGTCTTGGGTGGTGGTGTTTTTTCATTGGACTTACTTCACCTTGCTAACATAACAGTTTCATGTAAATGTTTAGGCTGTGCTCAGCATTTCCTCTAGAGACAAAAAATTCTGACAAAATTTCTGTGTCTGAGAATGAGAATTGAGTCTCTTGTTGTTTACAGCACGCAATCCCATTCAGTTTTATTGGTGTGCCCAGGGAGACATTTTTGTATTACGCTGATCATGTTTAGACACTGAATGGGATGTCACTGAACACACATAAAATGAGTTTGGATTTATCACAAGTGGGAGTCTCATACTTACTTTGGATGAGATAGCACTCTAAAGGAATTCTGCCTTGCAACAGGTGAGGGACAGACATACTGACTTGCGTGGAAGTGAGGTGTGTGTAATGCCCGAAAAGCAAAGGCATCAATTGCTTTTTGAGTCAGAATAACTTCAAGTATGGATAACTGAATGCTTCAGTTATCGAGGCTGAGATTTTCACATTTTTGTATAACACTTGGTGTGTTTTTCCTTTAAGCCGAAGGAGAGGCAAACTCTTACTATCACTCTTCCCGTCCTCCCTTAGACTTCTAAGTTACAGCTCTGACTTCTGCTCTTTGCTTATTGCTGAAGACATGTTTATGTATTCGGGATTGACTTTGCCTTCCTTTCTCACATTCAGGAGCACTTCATCACATAGGTATGCCCTGTTCAGCTCCAGCAGAACTGCATCACAAGGCGATGTTTAGCTCCATGGCAAGCTCGCGTTGAAAGCCTGCCTGGCAATTTCAATAGCACTGTACCGAGTGCCATAGTATCCAGCATTCAAGCTTGCGTGGGCCTTGTGTTGGTCTCGTACACTAGAGTAAATTTCCCCTAAGAAAAGTAAGAAAATAAGTACAAGAAAATTTGGTTGTCTGATTATTAACTGATAGTTGGTATTATGGATTTCTTCTCCCCTGGAATTTCATTCCTGAGTGCACACATATGAATCTTCCTTCTAGGATTATGGCAGTAATGCAGTGAAAATGAGGTGATAGCTCTCTAATCATATTGGCTCAACTAACTTTTATCACCCTGAAGTATTCCGGAGCGGTTTCTAAACGCATGCAGGAAATTGCTTCACCCACTGCAACCTGGCGCTCGTGAGAGCCAACACAGCCCAGATAGCTCCAGTGAGGAAATGCATCACGGATTTATCACATCACATTCCCTCAGGAGATAGTCAACATGTTGTTTGATTTAATTTCAAAATATTGTGGCAGAGCCTCCAGTACCTCTAAATGCATTTCCACCAGCATTGGTCCCAGTTGCATTCAAGTCAAATACTTCCCAGGGCTTGCAGCCTGGCCCACACTCTCACTGGGCTGCTCATATTTGAGGTGACTCAGTGTTGCAGACAAGGCTGTCGGCTCAGGATCCACCTCAGCTGCCTCAAGATATTTAGGTACTTAAGCAAATAAAGCTACAGTCTCGTAAATAGGCCATGATATGTACATGTAATTTACTCAAAGTATTAACAGCTTGAGTTTCTCAGAACTGTGAAACATTGTCTTCTGATCTTCGTACGTAGCTCAGTAAAAATCTCTGCCAAATCAATTTGGGGTTTTTTTCCCCAACAAGCTGTGGTGAGAGACACCCCTGTAGAAATAAGATGATAGACCAAGCTAAAGGAGACAATGACAGTCATAAAAATTGTGAAACAAATGCCTGCCCTTTAGAAGTGATGGTTTCATTCTTTCTCAGCTCGATTCTTTCTCAGGAAAGTTATTGTCTGCTGTGATACTTGTTCTTTAAATTTCTGTTTTGCAAATGTTTTCTCTACATTTTTAATAAACAGGGATTGCACCTGTCACACGCAAGAGAGAAATTATGTTTATTCCTAAAAAAAAAACAAACCCTGATTTCTACTCCTATGAATTCTCAGTAAATAAAAGCTGACGAGCTGTCACAGTTCTCTGCAGAGTGTGGTGAAATATGTTATCCCATAGGAGTTTTTAGCATAAAGTGATCTTCTTTTTGAGGACATAAAGTCCAAACTAGTAAACAATAACTAATTAATAAGCTATTAATAGCCTAAAAAGTCATTGGTCGGGCATCAAATTGCGATTTAGCCAACTGTGCAACACACCGGTTTTAGTGATGGGTGCTGTCCAAGCTGGAAGCTGGGAAGGTACCATTTCCCTCTCAAGTATTTCTGCTTCTGCTACAGATACTGAATATTCATTCTTAAGCCAGATGGCCTCTGCTTGTGATGCAATTAAAATACCTTAGAGCAAAATATGTTGACTCTCATTAATGTCCAATGGTAGGGATTGTTCTGCTTCCTATGACTTCATTATGCCATCGAGGTAGAGACATTTCCTGCATAGCAGCGCTGTAAACTTCCCCCAAACCTTCTTTATGACAAGCTGGGTGAAGGTGTCATTATCAGATACAGAGTATTTGGTCCTTTCAGCTGCCTCAGATGGGTATTTAGGAAGGCATTGTGGAAGGAAGACTGCACATCAGATCTTGTCTCAGCAGTCATTTCCAAAGACATAGTGCCATGTAAGTGATTATTGACTGACAAACTGAAAATGAGTAGGATTACTGACCCTGCCAGCCTGTAAAAGTGAAGGGAAAGGCTTCAGGAATACAGGCTAGAAATCAGCCAATACAAACTAGTTAATTTTTTTCATCTGTCAAAATAGGCTTAACTTTAGTGTAATTTTCCTATAACATTTTTAAAGAAATGCTTCCAGTCTGTAAATGCTGCTAGAAAACAAGATCTAAAGAACCTGGATTCATCATTCATGCCAGAGGACATAGTCATGCAGGTCTTATGGTAGCATTTCTTATTCAAAATGTCCATTTGGCACTGTAAATGTAGCAAATTCATTTCATCCTCCCCCCCGAGGTGTCAGAAGACAAACACATCACCACACAATAACGCCAGCTGTACAGAACGAGAATAATTAAATTCTACAGCTGAAAGCAGCAATTCATCAGCATCAACATCTTCAGTCCATGTGAGTATGTGGTCCTCACATAAAGCTAGTCTGGAATTTTTTCACAAAATGAAAACTCCTTGCAGGAACATGTCATTTGCGGTTAATTTTTACAAAAGGCTTTTCAGATCAGAAATGGGATTCTGGTCAAAATCAGAGAGAAGCAAACGGCCTACTTGATCCCAATAACTCTGATCTTTAAACAGGTCCCACTTTTGTACACATTGGTACAGGGGTTTAGGCTTCAGAGCCATAGGGCTTCTTTTTTTTCCATGTAATAAATATTTGCTTATTCATACAGCCATAGGAAAATTCTAGAGGGAAAGATGGAGGGACCCACCTGAGAAGGATAATGAGCAATCCACCTTCGGGTACCAAATCCTGATGATCTGGGTATTTTTCTTGGATGCGAATCCCTGGGCTTGGGTAGGCACCCAGGTTCTGCCTGTTACGGGGTATGCGGATGCAGCTTGGCTGCTTCATTTGTTCTAACTGCTAAATAAGAAGGCTTTGGAGCATGGAGTGTTTTGTGTCTGTACTAATTAGGATTAGACCCCTCTAAAGGAGGCTGACTCGAGGTGCACACCTATATAGCATTGGACCCTGATCTCCACTGAACCTGTTGTTCCCCTGCAGTCCCAAGATATCGTTATTTTTGTGTGCGTTTTCTCAGGTCTATGTAGCTGAAATGTTTATTGCAAAAAACACGTTGAGAGTTGCTGGAGAATGTTTTGATGGCAGGAAAGTGAAGGATTTGTGTTGCGTACCTTGGTGTATGGCACACAAACGGGTAAGGATGCTGTACGGGACAGCACAAAACAGGTGCGATTGTGTTGGAGTGCATCAGAGGGAG